GTATACAAACATTAAGAAGGAAAATAAGGAGGAGATAAACTTTAATTGCTGGTTAAAAAATTCGAAGAGTTTGCCAGCCGTAGGTCTACTCTGCACGATCATACTCCAACGCTTCTTCTTCTTCTACTGTATCTTTATCTTATTTTTATGTTATAAATATTTTGATAATATATATTTTTAATTGTCGTATCATATCCTTGTTTTTAGATATTTTCTGTATTGCTTTTTGTATTGTATCACCTTATTCATATAAGTGCTTCATAGGTGAGTTGAGATTAAAAGGAGTGTAGGACTGAAACTGATTAAGATTATGAAAATAAATTTGTTTCAAGTATGATATTTCTATATTAAAATTTTATTATTTTATTATTTTATCTTTTTTTTGGGTACATATTTGTTTTAACTCTTTAACATATTATTTGCATCCATCTTAGTACAAACCATAAACGAGATAACTCTCGGAAGCTAGGATTATCGGTTTGAGACTTAGATTTAGGGTTTGGAATACGAAAATAATTTTCTATCATTTCTAAATAATTGAAACCATATTTTGAAATAATTTCGGAAAGTGAAAATAATTTTAAAGTCCAATAAATTATTTGAAATAAATAAATATAATTAATTAGTATTTATTATGAAATTAAGTAATATCTTATTCTTATTTGATTACTTTAATTATGATTTATTTAGTGAATAATTAGTAATTTAAAATTAATTATAACCACTATCAAGAAAGATAGTTTTATATCCGGTTATGTGATTACTATAACCACTATCAAGAAACCAAACATGATCATTCTTTTGTTTTGTTCTTATGCCGCTTAACAAGCATAGAACATATTTCCATCACCTTCCTTTTCTTCAGTGAATGATTTCAATGGGAAATTTCAAACAGATCATTGATATCGCTGGTGTCAAGGGACAACTTCCCCACACAGCAGACTAGAAAGAAACCATGAGATCCGCCTGCCTATCAATACAACAAAGTGGCTTAGCATGCAGTTTGAAAACGCAAACTAAACTTTACCCAAAAGAAAAAGAAAACAGAAAACACTGAGAAAAATAAAATAAAATAGACGCTAAACAAACAAGGACACCTATGCTTACCTAGACGTGTCCCATCAAGGCTCCACATCATGCGGTTGATTGATGCTGTATAGTCACTGGCCAATGATGCCTAAACAGAGATCCTCCTCGCCAAACACCTAGTATGGGGCTAGAAAAACATGGACAATTTTAATAAAACTGGAAGTAGGTATGCTTAAACAGAGTATTACAAATAAGGAGGAAAGTTACTCTTGTTGAGGAGTTGTTCACTTGATAGTCATCAGGAACAAGAGGCCGCAGCTCCCTCTCTCTGAAAAATATCAATACAAACTTAAGGATGATTTAGTATTAAGACTGGCATTGCACAATTGAACGGAAAAGAGATCAGTACGTACAGTCTGTCAGCAAGTCGAGGAAATAGTGTGCTTCCTCCGGTTAAAATAATGCTGGCCAACACATTCAGACACACGGGTAAGTACTGACAATATATATATTTTTTTTCATTCAAGTAAAATGCAGAGTTTGGAAGGTCACTTTACATGGAGTACAGGGTGAAGATGAAGATGGCAGGAACTGACAGCTCGAACTATGCACTCCGCTAGCCCAGCCTGATTCATTCCTGCAAAACAGAGTTAGCGCTTTTGCTTTGTGAGAAATCATAGAGTTCCCAAAGGAATGAGCAAAAATCATTACTAAATCACACACAATGTTCACACAAGTTATAGAATTTCTAAATACCTCATATTATGCCACACAGTATCATATTCTACAAAAACAGCTAATCTACATGAATCAAGCAACAACTTGCAGCAGAAGTAATAACCCTTAGCCAACATGAACCACAAAAGGATACTGTAATGTTTCATTCAACAACAAAGAATCATACGTCGTATTTGTTTCAAGAATCAAACTAAAACCCCAAAAGTGTGTACTTTAAAACCAGAATATAAGACAAACCCAAATCAGCAGGATGGAAGATCATCTCCGGCACAAGGAACCTTTCATCTGTCAAGTCAAATTCCTGCCCAAAAACAACAAACACCACTCAGAAGTAGAAAACAAACACAACCAGTTAATGGTCAAGACTGTACAGTGGCAGTCGTGTAAATTGAGTAACAACTAATAACCAAAGTGTACTTCCACTTTTATAGTGGTCATTTTAATAAGCCAACAAAAAAAACTAAATAATAATAATAAGAGAATGAAACAGTAAGTAAATCTAAACTTAGGATATTTGGGTTAATTAATTTTTTTTAAAATTTTATTGTTAGTAATTAAATAATATATTTGATTTATCTAACTAGTAAAGTTAGTAATTATATTTTAATTATTATTTATTTAGTGAATAATTAGTATTAAAATTTTCAATTAACTTCATGAATTATGTTACTTAATAAATAGTAATTCAATCTTTCTTGTTTCTTTTTTCTTTTTTTCCTTTAATATTCACTAAGTAAAGCCTAACTACTAATCAAAGTGATTCAAAAAGAGAGATACATATTAAAGGGTATAGCCGCGCGGCTATACGCTTTTAATATATACACCAACATTAAAAATATAAATATGGATTTCTCTGTAGGCTTGCCTTTTGTGAACACCCCACATCGAAAATCCACTCCTACAGAGGTCTTTATAAACAAAGCACTATGATGGTTTGCTAGAAGCGGCTTGAGTCCTGCAGACCCCTAAAAAACGTTGTTTTCTGCTGTAAAATTGGATTACATCTTCCAATGTAACAACACAGACAGGTTTTCCTTACATTTTCTTAATGTCATGCAAACTAAACTTCAGTTTTGAACATAGGAGACAGTAAGTGATGGGGAGGACTCATTTAAAATGTTTAATATTAGATGGAAAGTAGTGTTACAGTAGCAATATAGTATGGAGAGTGGTGTTCAAGTAAATATAACGAGCAACAATATTAAAATGTTTAATATTAGATGGGCTGGTTTTTGTTTTAATTATTAACTTCAGGGTCCAGGGTTCAAGTCACAGAGAGGGCACACTTGGGTATTTTTTTTAATATTTTTTATTTTTAAGTGTTTTCACCTGTTAATCTTACTTTGATGCTTTTGTCATTAAATTAGCTTGGCTATAGGCTCGGCTTTGGATTTGGCGCTGATTAATAATAATTATATTAATCAAAGACTTGGGGCTTGGGGCTCTTGGGCTTTGGAGAACTTTAATTAAGGCACCCAAATAAAAATAAGTAATATATATATATATTTATATATTTTGTTGAAATATAGGAGATATTAAGGCTAATAAGATATTACTTAATTACATATATTAAATTAAAGAGGTTAGCCAAAAAAAAGAGAGTAAAGAAACTAATTTTATATTTCAAAAATTAAAATTTTAAATAAAATAAACGTAACACCTTTCCCGACGAAATTTCATCGGCATAGATCTATGCCGGCAAACTGTTGTCGGATAACGTTTTTTGCGACAAATAAACCTTTGCCGACAACATTTCGTCGGGAAAGGTCTGTTGACCTACCCCGACGAAATTTTGTCGGGAAAGGTCCTTTTAAAAAAAATAAATCTAAACTTAGGCTATTTGGGTTAATTAATTTTTTTTAAAATTTTATTGTTAGTAATTAAATAATATATTTGATTTATCTAACTAGTACAGTTAGTAATTATATTTTAATTATTATTTATTTAGTGAATAATTAGTATTAAAATTTTCAATTAACTTCATGAATTATGTTACTTAATAAATAGTAATTCAATCTTTCTTTTTTCTTTTTTCTTTTTT